AAGAAAAAGTTATTTCTGACACAATGCAAAACTATCTTATGGATTCAATGGCAAAAGAGGAGATGATGGGATGAATTTAAAAGGGAATTAAAGGGAATTAAATTAATGAATTTATTGAGTTCATGGAGAAGAGTTCTACAACTAAACAGAATTTCTGGGTTCAGACTCCATATGCTACTGCATACCAGTCTGTTTATTTTATACTCTGTCTTTCCACCAAACCTGGCATTGAAGATAGATAACAGTTAACAATTCCAGAACAAAGGGTAGGAGAACTACTGATGATTGATTGAGCAATTTGATCTGATTTGTATACCACCTGGTAGCCAAAAGGTAATTAACAGAACTAAAAGAAAATAGCAGCAGCAATAAACCATTAAAACCAATCATAGAACCAACAGAACAGCAAGATACTAACTACAGAGGCCACAATTAAGAGGCAAAGGGGCAGATAAAAATAGAGTACAATGTTAAAACCAAAGTAAAAACATTTGAATTATTAAAATACCTGACAAATAAGGAGGTTTTCACCTGACACTTAGTAGAAAAAAGAGTAGGCACCACATGTATCTCTTCAGGGAACACATTCCATAGATGGTGTGCCACCAAAGAGAAGGCCTTTCTCCTGGTGACCACCCTCTTTGTTAGGGGAGGCCACCCTACTTCTGTTAGAGGAGGCTCCTTGAGAAGTAAAAAGAAAACTAAAATTCCTTTAAAAATATAAATGACCTATATTCACATATTTGTCCAAGATAAACTCTCTCATTCAGGAATATTGCTCAAAGTAATGGGCTACAATTGAAAGGGTTACAAAGAAAAGACCAGACAAGCTTCCTTTTACACCACTGGGATTCCAAACATCTGCCTTAGTGCTTTAGAATAGGGCAACATCAACTAGCAACAAGATGCATGAATTAGTAATGTGCTACACATATGCTAACCTAATGAAAATTAGTAGTGTCAAAACAAACTACAACAACAATTATTGCACAATGATGTGTTCACACATAATGCTAAGCAATGCCATGCGGTAACCGCATCCTGTGTTCACACATTCACATGGTTTCTATGCATGCAGTTTCCATGCTTCTCTATCTTCCCACCAAATGGTGGCACAGATCCCATCAGCCCTGGCCACCGAAAATCAATCCCACCATGTACTGTTCCTGCCCACTTTGTCTGCATCTCCCTCACTGGCCCTGGGCATGGCCATAGGCAGCTGCTCCTGCTCTTTTTTGGTTTTGTTTCTGCTGCTGAGCAAAGCAACCGGGTGTGCTAGAGTAGCACCATGGTTAAAGTGCAGCACTGCATGAGCACACCCTGCTGCTACCACAGGCCATGCCCATGCACAAGCACACACAGTGCCACCATACCTCCCTGCACATGTGTCTATGCTCTCCCCCCATGTACAGGACTCATGCACACTGCCAGGGGCTACCCCTCTTGCAGCCAGAAGCACAGAGGGCATCAGCATGGGAACCCATGGCAGGGATGGAGGGAGCTCAACCTTCCCAAGGTACCCATCTGAGCATCTGCCCAAGAAAGTTTGCCAGCAGGCTGCCAGGAGACTAAGGGAGGACAGAGGTCTTGTGGAAAGTTGCAAGGACTGTAGGCCCAAGATGGGAAGAGGGCAGAAAACAGAGGGAGACATGAGCAGTCCCACACACTGCCCATATGCTCCTTGTGAGCAGGACAGCCTCCACATGAGTCCACTGGCTCTTACAGCAGCGCAAGCAAGGTGGCACTTCAAAGTACTGCTCCAGCACAGGGCTGTGAATGGCAGGAGTGCCTAGCACAGCTGTCTTTGCTCATTGTAGTACAGTGTGATGTCCCACTGCTGGCAAGATCCCACCATGGCTTGGCATTGAAGGCCATTCTCTGGCAGAGAAGCCAGAAAGCACTTAGCGGCCGACTGGAGTATAGGTAGAGTCATACATGTATTTTGAGTAGGGTCAGACATAATGACAAGCAAGGGTGAAGCTGAGCTTTACAGCAGATTGTTGATTCTCTGTGGGGTTTCATGGAAACTAAATATGCCATGTTTTACTATGGATGCCAAATTCACATATAATTTATTTATTTTTATTTTTTTTTATTTATATCCTGCCTTTTTCCTACAAAGGGTTCAAGGCAGCTTACATTATCTCTCCTCCTCCCTCTTATCCCCACAACAACAAGCCTGTGAGGTAGGTTGGGCTGAGAGACTGTGACTGGCCCAAAGTCACCCAGTTGGCTCCATGGCCGAGCGGGGACTCGAACCCAGATCCTCTGAGTCCCAGTCCCATGCTCTTCACCACTACGCCACACTGGCTCTCATATAATGACAAGCCCTGCCTGTGTGGTTTCCAGCATGGCTTGTCATTATGTGTGAATGCAGCCCTTGAAGAATGCAGTCAGAAATAAAAGTGGCAAAAATTGTTCAATATTTTCTGTTTAGAACAAAACAATACTCTCACCATCAACATAGTTACTTTTAGTAACATTATTTTGTACTGCGCTGTTGCTGAAATTCTGGCATTCCAATTAAAATACACAAGTTATTGGGTTACAGTACTGATGTTCCATTCCTGAAGTTATTAAAACATCTTTGGTATCTAAATCATATTAATTTAATGAGTTCATTTAAGATTAAGAACCTTTTCTCTTTTAAAATATTATGCTTCAGAAAAGAAAACAAATATGTTAAAATACTGACAAATTTACCCCTCTGCACTGAGGCATGCAAGTATTTTATATTTAAAAATTTAGTTCTTTAAATGACAGATCAGCTAGACACCATTCTTAAGATACAATAATGCTTTTACAGTTTTTTATTGGGTATCTTCCAGAACATAATCCATTTTACTTCAAGGGCATTCCATTTCTGGATGAGCACAAATATTCCTTTTCCTTTCACGCTTTTTACTTTTTCTGGAGTAATCAAGATAGAAAGAATAGATGTCAGTCCTAACAAGAAGTCTTTAATTTGTTGCCTAGTTTACTTTGAAGTAGGGTGCTCTTTTCACTGGGAAGTCCCTCTCCCCAATTCTATTCATGTCTCAGGTATGCAGAGTAATAAATAACTGTCAGGACTGGACAAAACACAAGGGTAAACGCAAGAATCAAACAAAATTCTTAGAATTTCTGTAAACAAAGGTTTAAAGCTGACTTTCTGGTAATATTAGTGTAATTAACAATGTGATTCTATGTATATAGATTCTAGATATATATACATAGAATATATATCTCATTTTAATCAATCAGACTTCCTTCCAGGAATATGAATATAGGATGGCAGTTTGACTGAATTAACACCGAAAAGGTATGGTAAGTAAAACTTGGGTTTTTCATTAAGGAATTGAGAAAATGGAGGATAGTTATAAATGTTTAAACATGCACAGAAAACATATATCCAAACAAATGTAACAAGTCAAAGCAAACAGCATCTGAAATGACAATAATTTCCCTTTTCCTTCATCCCAACAGCCCTAAGATCAGTTACAGTTTCTTCCTCTAAAGTCACATGGCCACCAGAACCAAACTGGAATCTCTGTAGGCCCCAGACACCTATTCCATGTTAGGGCTCTGGACATGTGACTTGGTATCACAGCAAATCCATCCTGGGCAAAGCAATGTGACTTCAACATCAAGTCATTTTCCCTCACTTCTATTCCCCTCCTCAGGCTGCTTTTTAAAGCACCTTTCCTGATGAAGGTATCTGGGGATCTCAAATGCCTGCACATTTTTCACAAGCTCTTGGTTAGCATAAAAGTATGGCACCTACACAGAGTATGGAATTTTACTGATGGCCTACATGATTATATTTGCTTTTTATCAGAAACTGCTATTTCTAAATGAATATATTTAATAAGTACAGTGTCTCAGGTTGACAACTATATGGTGTCTTTAAAAGGAGAGCAATTACAGGATTTTTTTGGTATGGCACATTCTCTACTTCAAGGCATGAAAAGATATATATACATCCATAGCTTCGGTTATGATCTATGTTTTAGTTGCTTTATTATATATTTATTTTAATGGAAAATGGTTTTAGTTATTTTATCTTTTGTATGTTTCAATTATTTTGTCATTACTTGTTTTGAGAAAGTTGTCTAAGAAATTCAATAATAATAATAATAGCAACAATTGAAATCCCAGAAAGCTCTCATGCAAACATTTTGATCTTCAACTTCATGTATATCTTTAAAGACATTTAGCAATGTGTACAGTAAGTTTTTCAAGTGAAAAGAAGCTGCCAAATCAAGACTTCATTAAAGCACACTGAACATATGGCACTGCATAATACCAGATGTAATTGTAATACAGGGGGTGAGTCCTAAATAAACAGACACAATTAGCACCACAGAAAAGCAGAAGCCAGTAATTACTATTATTTCATTACAACTGCCCCAAGTGTGTTCTCAAGTAGAACCAGGGACCCAGTGTACTGGACAATGCTTTGACGGGCAGATGCATCAGGAATCTAATTAGAGAGCAAAACTGAACGTTACACACAGATGGTGTAATTACAGTACTTTTTTAAATGGAAGGGCCAGTTCAGGAAGGTAGGTGAACTGAAGTTTATGGCACAGACACAGCAAGGCTGCATCCTCACTACACATTAGTCTCACTGCAAACTGGGGGTGGGTGCGGGGGGGGGGTGAGTGGGTAATACAAATGTGCATCTGAATCCCCAACTGGGGTAAGAACAGGTGCTGAGATGACATAGAGTACTGACCGGGGCATGAAAGGACTTTTCTGCTGGCTAAATATGCATAGGAGTTCATCTTTACTGGAGAGAAAAGGGTTAAGAACCTCCACCCCACAATGCTGCTTCCCTACTTCCAATCTCACAGTTCCTAAACAGGATTTTCCTGTTCCAAAAGGCCATCAGACTACCATCCTGTGCATTTGCCTATAGTTTGGCTCCTCAGTGCCTAACAAACACACCATACTTTATTTGTTTTTACAGTGGGACATTCACTAGAAAAGGTGACTAACAACTTCTGTTTGCAACTTACCAGATCTGGATTTAATGATGTTGCTAAATTCATTAAATGCTCCTGCAGATCCTTCATCTGTATCTAAAACCTTGGCCATCCTTTCATCTAGGTTGAAAATTCCTCTGGAGAATTAATTCAATACTTTGCACATTGCTCACACTCCAGCCTGGTTTAAAATCAATAGCTGAAACAGAAACACACAAAAATATAGATGCATTATTTCAAAACCTATATATCACTTTTCAAAACAATATTCTCCCAAGATATCTTACCATTAATATCAAACTTCAAACAGACACCTAAAAACTTTTTAAACATCATAAAATAAGTTCTGATGCAACAACAGAAGCCACATTAACGTTTAGAATAGAAAGCAAAGAGTTTTAAAGTCCAGATCTTTTCTATACGAAGCATACACAGTTCTTCAAAACCTACTCAGAAGTAAAAATGGAGGAAACCACACACAATTCCTTTAGGGGGAGTTTGTCAGATACAGAGCCACTACAAAAAATATCCTATTTCTTGTACCCACCAAACTGCAATCTAGCAGGGCCTCTTTACCTAATTTAAAGGCCCAGGGAAGTTTCATGTGGCATAGAAAGGGGGTCCTGCACGTATCCTGGTCCTAAGCATTTAATACTTTAAAGGCAATACTAGCACTTTAACCTGAAAACAGGGACAAACAGGTAACCTTTACAGCTGCAATAAAATTGGTGTAATACATTCCAAAGATTTGACCCTCATAATACACTCTGTACCAACTGCAGCTTCTGAGCTGTTTAAGAAAGGCCACTCCATGCAACAAGAGTATGAGCAGCTAAATCTTTATCACCTTTAGGTAGGGTCACAGCAAGCATACCTGCCTAAATTATTAAAAGGTACTGTTAGATACTGCCACCACTTATGTTTCTACCAATAGTCCCCTAAGCTGGTCTTTCAACTAACTATCCCACCAAGAATATCTCTATGTTGCAGTTTCAGCTTGTTTAAATGTCTCCAACCACATGCCTCTCTGGGATTGGTGGACTGAAATGAAAAGCAGAGCTGCATGTTATCTGCACACTGATAACATTTTAACCCAAACAGCTGAATGACTTCCCCAGTGAATTTCAAGTAGATGGTAAAAATCAGCATGCAAAAGCCAAATCCATGAAGTAGAGGAGCACTCCCTGAGCACCACCAAATCAGTTTGTCTCACCAGGAAAGTCAAGATTCCAAAGTTTATTCCGTTCCAGTAAAGAAAGATATCATGATCAATGGCACTAAAAACCACTAAGAGATGGGGGGGAGACTGGATGCATTCCTTCTGTCCCTCAGGATGAAGGCAGATTCGAATGGATCAAATCAGGGACAGGTACCTGATGATAGTCCAAAGGTTTTAGTCTACAAGTCCCATCAGCTCTAGCCAGCATAGACATGAGAATTCATGGGAAATTCTTACCTGCCTCAGATCTAGGTAACTCAAGTTATAAATGCACATAAATAGCTCTCTCTCTACACATGTAACTCCTCATTTTAAACCAGATAATTTAAATTTCCTATTTGCTCTTTTTTGTTCTGCACTGGTTCAGTATCTTACAAATGCCACCATTTGATTTGTAGTTGAAATCTATGAGAAGGTAGACACCTGCAAGGGGGCAACCCAGGGAAACCACTAAATAACAGAATCCAACTTTTCTGCATTACCCCTTTAATTACACAATAGCATGTTGTGCATTCACTATGCTTTTTAATGTTAGTATCCATGACAGTTAAATATTATTTGGTCAAAGTTGAAACACTAGTAAGTCAGAATCAAAAGATGGTGTATACAGTTACCAGCAAAGATCCTTGATGGATTTATTTCACAATCTAGTGCAACACACACAGAGCAATCCTATAAAGGTCTGTTTAGAAGTCATGTTCATTTTGATGGGACATACTTGCAAATGAGTGGAGATAAGAATGCAGTCTTACCCTCTATTTAAGAGCACTGTTCTCACTGCTTGCACTTCAAAGAAATTCTGGCCTGCAAAGGAGAAAACAGCCTGGGAGTGGTTGGCCTAACTTCCTTATTTATGTGCAAATTACAAGGGAAATTGTTTTCCAGCTGTCCCAAAGCCTGCTCTTCTAAAGATCTGGGGAGGGTGATAATGTTTTAAGTGGAAAGCAATATACATTCCAGTTTCTTTTCATTCTACTACCATATTGGACTCATGGTTGCTTTAATAACTACAAAGTGCAGAGAATGATAAACTGCCACAGGATTAACACATTAATAATATTAATAGGATTTCTCACCCTTCCCAAGGACAAAAAAATCATCCCTCCTTTATTACTGCTATCTTATAAAAGTTCAATAGGACCAAGACAGAAGATGGAGAACTTTCAGAAGGTTACCTAACAAACAAAAAGGTGTATGGAAGGGGGAGGGGAGATTTGCAGTTTTGCTAGAAGCTTTCACTGGTATCTGTTTAATTCTACTAAGCAAGAGGAAAAAGACCAAATAACAAGTCATATGTCTGAGATGAGGAAATCAGCTCAAACTTTCACTCAACATGTGACTGCTTCAGTTGCCAGGCACAACTGTCAAAACCAAGTTTCACACGTAGGAGTCTGGCTTCCATCCAGCCCACCCCATCCAATTTTTCCCAGCTGTCCACAGGCAGAGCACACACTCAACAGCTATACCACACATCATTATTCATATTCCAATTGCTGTGGTTTTTGCCCACTAAAGATTCATGAGTTCCTCCCTCAGAATCTTTCACCAGGCCAAGTTCACACATCATTCCAGATACTGCACAAATTAATCTCACAGAAAAGCAACTTCAGTCCTTCAGGCCCACTTCAGTCCTTTCTACTATCCTGAGCTTTCCTGAAGCAGGCCAGCCAACACCTGCTCGGGTCTCATCCTGCTTACAAGCAGAACAATCAAGGCATTTTACTTTGGAAGACAGCAGAAGTCTTTAAAACACAGAGGATGTCACTGAGTTTCTGCCTTTGACTAACCAGTGACCATACTGCAAAGTACCACTGCACAAACTACCACAACACCTTGCAAATAACCTGTGCAGTGTTGATTGTCTGTTGGTTGTCTGTGAAACAGCTCATAGTGTGCCCAAGAGACAATGAAGCTCCCCACTGCTTCTTCTCTCCCTTGGTCCTCCAGCCAGAATCCCAGTCCACAGTAGAAGCTCTCTCTCCTACCCCTTGTAATTTGCTGATTTTAATAATGTATGTTCAGAGCCTCAAATACACAACTGGGGACCAGGGGGTGTCAGCATCAGAAAATTGCACAAACTTGCTGACAATTTTTTGGGTGCTGTCGAATATGCCTAAGTCTCTCCTGGTCAACTGCCTTGCATGATTCATCTGCTAAACGGAGCAGTGAAATAGAATATACATGGATTGACAGGGCAAAATTGCATATAGGCTAATTTGTCAGATATCAATTGCAGAGCTGTCAATTGAAAAGCACTGAAAAGGAGTGGGAAACCTGCAAAAACAGGTGCTCCAAAACAATGTATCTCTATTAGCAATGTAACCCTGTGAATGTTAAGTACTGAACTGACACTTCTCAGTGTCCTCTATATTTTAAACACTTCCCTAAGTTTTCAGCTACTCTAGAAAGAGAACTAAATTCCTATGCGTACACACTTTTTATGGTTCCATTTCAGAATCCATATCCTTGAGGGTATTGTGAGTCCCTGACAGTTGCAACCAAAATGCTAAAATACACACAAATTTAATGGCTTTGAAATAACTGGAGTGTAATTTTGCATACATGCAAGAGCTAGGAAGTAAAAGGAGGGAAAATCTATGCACTTGTATTAACTCTCGTGGTACTGCACGTAACCACATTTCCTCACTGTTTACTTACCAGCCTGTACATTTATGCCCCATGTCCTTCCATTTGCTTTCCAGGCAATAAATATGCACTTATTTCCTAATCTGAAAATTGTGCAAATATTCCTAGAAAGGTTTTTTTTTTAAAAAAAATCTTTAAACAGGTTGAAGCCAGCATGGAGGAAATGGGACACCAACATCAGGCATACTTACACCTATTCACATCACCCTTTCAGCTGATTTCTTGGGGATTTTGTTTGCTTTGTTTGAATTGTGAGGGACTGGCAGTGGCTGCAGCAGTAAATGCTCTGAAAAGGAGCCACAAAAACAGACTAGGAAGAAACCCACTCCGCTTCCCCATTCTGGAGTTGCTGAAAACTTTGGAAAGTGGGGGCACTGAGAAGTGTCTGTTTATCAGGATCACATTGTCAAGAGGGAAATAATTGCCCCCTGCCCTCTGAGTGCACAATATCAACCTTTGCTACTTTCCACCTTTCCAGTGCTTTTCACTTGATATATCTGCAACTGGGCCCTAGTGACAATCTGCAAATTAGCCTATATGCAGTCTCACCTTGTTAATTTCCTTATTTATTTATTTAAAGTATTTATATGCCGTCCTGTAGCGAAAGCCTCTGGACGGCTCACATAGATAATACATATGTTACATGTTACATAGTTTCCCTGCTCCCATTGATGGATGAAATATACAGTGTTGTAATTGATCAGACAAAACTGCATATAGGCTAATTTGCAGATTCTCACTAGGGCTAAAAAACCTAATTGTGGACTGAACAACCCCTGGAACATGCCATGGGTTCTCAGGGTAGTTTGCTGCCCATAAACAAGCCATTCTGTAGGAAGTACAGACTACGCTCTTCAGCTAGTTACCCATGATGGGTTGTCCTATCAATGCTCCAGGTCAATTTACATATAGGAAGAGAAAGTCAGGGTAAGGTTGATTTTAAGCTATGTAGCAGTTACCTTATATCTCAAGGGGAAGCAACGGAAGAGTTTCACACTCATTTTACACTACATGCACGAAGACAACCAAGAAGCATCAGGTCCACTCAATGTTTCTTCCCTTATCAAAATAACAGTAGAAATTCCAGTAACTCCAAACTAAGCCTCCTTCACTTCCTTCTTGCCTTCCAGAAAAGGCATGCAATTTACCAGTAATCCAGTGCTAATGAGAAGTATTCTAGAACAGTTTTGGTGAATTCACAAGGGACATGCAAATCTTTTTCAAAGTTTTTAACATGAACCAGCAAACTAGTGGTCCTTTGGGACCAATTCTGCCACGCACCCCTGCAAATGTGTTAGTGTACACTTCACTAATAAAACCTTCTAACATTTTAGATAGCCTACCCTCAAGCAACAGAATCTCTCAAAACTACATTAGAGATGGAAAGGAAGAATTTTACTAAACTATTCTAAGGAAATAATTTGATGAGAGCCCACAATAGTGCCATTAATGGTACCATTACTATATTGGGACAAGGGTAGTCTAAAGAAATCAACTTATATGTGCCCGTAAAATGAACGGGAATATTCCAGGAATGTGGAGTGTTGGGGGCGGCGGCAGAGGTAGAACCGATAAGCACTAGACCAGCCTTCCCCTAGCCTGGTATTCTCCAGCTGCGTTGAACTGCACCTCCCATCATCCACAGCCGCCTCAGAGTTAGAAAGACCTAGATAGGCTACGGCGCGCAGTTACTCGTCTATCCTTTTGTCCCCTCAGCCCGCAAAGTCCAGGAATCGCATTACTCACATCTTTTCCTGTCAATTATTCACTAGCTTACCTGCCTGCGGGAAGGGGTGTGCAGCGGAGAGCGAGGGGGCAGGCAACGCTTCGTGCCCGAGGATCCGGTGGGCCAGCCAGTCAAACCACAGGGTCCATTTCGTGCACCCTTTCCAGCTGTTGCTCTCCAAAACAGAACTCCTCCCAAATAAATATCCAGCGCCAAATGGTGACACGAGCGGAGGTCAAAGCCTGCAAAACAGCTCCGACAAGTTGCTAAAATAAGGCGAAGATAGGGAGTCCCCCCCTCCAAACGGACGAACAAGTTTTACACCAAACGTTCGTCGGATGGGCTCCGTGAGAAACGCAAACTCCTCGACCTGCTGCCGGCCGCCCGCGCTCCACCCCGAAGAGGCGGCTTCTTCCTTCACTCTCCTCTCGCTTGTGGAGTCTGTGGGAGGAGCTGGAGGGGGGAGGAAGCAGCCCCCTTTGAGGACTGGCGGGCTCCCGGATAGGCAACTTGCTGCCGCCGCCGTCGCCGCCGCCGCTGTTGCAGCCCCTCCGCCCCCTCCCACAGCTCTTCCTGGGGCCCCAGGGATTCCTCCTTTGTTATTTGGGGAGCACAGGACTGGAAAGGGCGGGGGCTCTGGCCAGCCCGCCTTCCGAGGGCTTTGGAAAGGGCTGCCTCTCTCGCCCGAGTTGCTTTCCTGCCCCTAGCGCGCTTAGTCTCTCTCTTTCTCTCATGCAAATGAGGACAAGGGAGGCGCTGAAGCTGACAAGAAGGGAAGGCGCCCGCCGCTGCTCAGTTTTTTACTCTCTCAGCTAACTTTCTGCTGCGCTTGGAACTTCCCTCACCCCCCCGCGCGCGCGCCCGGAACCCAAAGAGCGCGCGCTCGCTCTCTCGCTCGCGCGCTCTCCGCTTTGCCCGAGGGTAGCTCCGTTGGCCACTGCTACACTCTAGCGCCGAGAACGTGGCGTGGCAATGTCACGTGACGCCTTGCCTTGTCAATCATCCTCTCTGCCCGGGGCGCCCGCTCGACCCGCTTGGAGGAGGTGGCATCTTTCTTCCTACTCTCCACATTCCCTTCTCTGACCCCCAAGCCTTGTTTGGCTGTTCCCGAGAGCAAAGCGGACGATTACCGAGAGAAGAACCCTAAAAAGCCCTTCAGAACTTAACTCCGAGTTAGCGCAGCCTGCTGCTTTGCTAGCTGCCTGGGAAAGGAGCCCGGCTGACTTCAGATGAGTTTGGGATTGCAGCATCAAACTAGCATGCACGAACGAACGGTGGCCCTTCAGATAAGACTGAACTACAGTTCCCATCCTCCTTCACCACTGAGCTTTTCCTCACTGGAGCAGCTTTTACTGTCTTTGACTGGCACGTCTACTGCTTCGTTGTCTATAGGTTGATGGCTTTGCTGCCAGGGATCCATGCCCTGGTAACCCCTCATTTGGATTAATGTTTTTCGAAGCCACCTTAAATGCCATTTTTGGCAGGAAGCTGGGGTATAAGTCAAATAAACAGAAATGCGTTGTTCATAGGTCTATCTTTGAAGATGAGACAGAAACTTCAGCTAGGGCAAACAATTCTAGCCAGGCCCAGGTGCCAAAATCCGAGGACACGGGTCCCCCCTAACTCCCAGTGTACTTTGACTCAAAGTACAAGTTTTGATTTACAAGGCACTATCTGCTCTTCCTGAGACACTGATGGTCTTTGCCTTGGAAGAGTATTGCAAAATTAGAGGGCAATATTTAAAAACCCTTCTGCCTCCTTGTCACGCTCCAAGCCTCAGGATAAGGGAACATTTGAGGTGCTTGTGTGGCTTTAAAAAATTCTAATGACTTTTTAAAGTATTTAAATACTTTAATACACAAATAAAGTTTGTGTTTTACTAGCTTACCCTTTGCAAGGTAATATTATAGTTGATGCTGCATTGCAAGTTTATTAGTATTATACTGTTAATTTTACTATGACTTTATTTGCATTTTTATCATTTTTATTTAAAATATTTCTTGGCTGCCTTTCAGGGCAAGAACCCTCTCACCCAAGGCCGTAGACATACTAAAAAGTAATATGATAATAAAAAGAGTAAAAGCACAATAAACACAGAAATAGCAAACATTCTAAAAACAGCATAAAAGGACACAACCAAATCAACCAAATCTGATGAAACATAATTAGGGGTCTGAAAAAACTAGCAAGTTCTCAGGGCCTTCTTAAAAATCTGGAATGGTGGGACCTCGTGGACCACTGATAGTAATTTACACCAGAGGTGTGGATTCTTGTAAAACATCTTGATAAAAGCATTTTATGGGATATTTAGTGAACAAATAAATTAGGCGGAAGCTGCTCAGAGTAAAACAACATTTGCTTGATTACTTGGGAGTAAAGCCCACTAAACACTTCCAAGTAAATATGCATAGGATTGTATGGTAAATTCACCTGCTGAGTCTTGAGTCATAGGAGCTCTGCTTGTACTTTAAATCAGCATCCTGTATGTAATCCAAATTTTAAATTTTAAAACTGCATTGCTTACAATGTGAAATTTTCTACATTTCTTCCACTTATGAGAGATCCTGGTTTTGCCCAGGATTATTTTATTTTTACACAGCACACATAGTGTGCCCATTCCCCGCCCCCCACAGAAGCTTGGGCTGATTGCAGCAGTCCTATTCAAAAAAACCAACACACATAAAATATATCTTAACACATGATTTTGTATTAATATGGCATTAAATACAGGATTTGGGGCACTCCTGCCTCCAAGTTTTTCAGGGCCCATGGACAAGACATCACCCACTGTTCATCTGGATCTATTCTAGCTGGTTTACGATTGGCTTTGGGATAAAGTCAACCTTGGCCACCCTGATCAATGACCTCCTATTACTTCTTGATCTCTCAGCAGCTTTTAACTACACTGACTACAGTATCCTTCTGGGCTGCCTCTGTGAGTCGGAGACACTGATCTACAGTGTTTCATGTCTTACTTGCATGGTCAGTTCTAAAGAAATAATTCTAAAAGGATAATTTAGTTTAATTGCCAAGGGGCCAAGGTACAATAACCCTATTGGGTGCCACAGGGCACTATCTTGGCATCTAATATGTCTGTGAAGCTGTTGGGACTGCTGTTGGGACTGTCCATGATGAGGTTTAGGGAGAGGTGATTTTTTTCTCTGACAGATGAATTGGGAGAGGTCATGCACAGTCTGATCTGCTTCCTTGAAATGGCTATGGCTTAGATAAGGTTTAATAAATTGAATCTGAATTCAGATCCAATAGAGACCCGGTGGATCCCAGGTCAAGGAAGCAGTAACTTGTCCATTCTGGATGGGGTTGCACTCCCTTTGAAGAAGCATGTAACTTGGGGCTCCTCCTGGATTCATTTTTGTCACTGCAGGCCCAGTGACCTCAATGGCCTTAAGTACTGACTTTAGTTGGACAACCTAACCATGAAGATCCCTGCGCTGATAATGACACACTTAGACTACTGTCATGCCCTTGTGCCTGATTCAGAAGCTGCATATAAAAGGCTTGTCAGGGTGGGTTGTTGTGATGTGCGCATGCACTACTGAGCCAGCCCAGCACTGTTAACCCTGACTGGCAGTGTCTTTCCAGGGTTTCATGCATGAGCTTTTCTTGCCCTACCCAGAGATGCTGGACGTCCAATCTGGGACCCCCTGCATGCATGTTCTGCCCTTCAGCCACAGTCTTTAAGGATGGACTGCATTCAATAAGGTGTGGCATGGACACCATGTAGGAATGGGATGTGCAACAAAACGTTGCACTGTATCCTTCCACTCCCAACTTGAGTACTGTTAAACCAACTTATCCCATTCTCTACTCCCTGGTTTTCGGGGTGGGAAGGTTCCAAGCTAGCGCTCAATATTTCCTTTTCCCATTAGACAGTTTCTTAAGCTGATTGCTCCTTTAGGGTTTGTGCTTCTGAAAATCACAGGATTCCCCCCAAACATACTGATCCTTCCTGCCTGTTTCTCCCCACTTGAGTTTTCCATCGGAGAAAGTAGACTTAGGACAGGGTGGGCTGCAGCCCTCTTGCCACTCGGAGCCCCTCCATTCCCCCCACAATCCAGATCTCTCTCCAGTTGACGAGCACAAAGTGAGGTGGGAAGGGGGGCCTGGAGGAGTGAGGGCCAGCGGGGGGCAGCATCCTGGGGGGAGGCAGGGCAGGGAGGAGGCTGGGCTGCTGGAGTGCTGGGCAGACAAGCCAGGACATGCCAGGCTGCTATGGGCGCTGCCACAGGTGGGGCAGATGGCAGTGGGCTGGGGCTGGCAGTGGGCAGGTGGGGTGGGGGGTTGTGCTGGTGCAGCAAAAGTAAAGATGCCTGGGGGCAAAACTGCCAAAACGGGTGGGGTTGTGGGCCCCTGGTTGGTGTGTACTCTGTGTGGATTCCCCTGGGGTGTGGAGAGCCTGGGCAGAAATGTGACTGCAGCACAGGGGCAGGAGGTGGTATGCAGGAGACAGTCCATCCTCTGAAGGAGATGCCAGCACAAGGCCTCGTCCTCTCCTACACTCTCCCCGGCCACCCTGCTTCTCCAGTCTGGTGCATCCCAGCTGAGTTGGCCTGCAACACTCTCCAGTCATAGTCAATACGGCTAGTGCCAAGGGCTGGGGAGGACCTGAAGGGTTGGCAGGAGCAGTGGGGGCATGCTGGGGAGAATCTGTCAGCTCGAGCACCCTAAAACCTCGTGTTGGTTTTCTCCCTTGCTTAATGGTTAATTAAATATATTAACTGTATATATTACATTAAATAAATATATTGCAAACACTTTAATATACCATATGGAAATATTATTCATTGTGCAGTGGATCCCATGTCGAAGTCCTCAACATAGTATGAAAAGGTATCCTTGAGGTACAAAAACTTGGACTGCCCTGACCTTGAAGAAAGAATGAGAGGGCTGTCTAGGCAGCTGGTTTGGCCTGTCATGAAAGAGCACCAAATGTTTCATAATTGTTACAGTCCTATGCCCAGGGAGAGATTTTTGTGAGACTGTCTTCCCTGGCTGCCAAAATTATTTGGCCAAACTTGGGTACTATGTACCTTATCTTGGGAAGAGCAAAGATGCCATTTTCTGCATCACTTCAGGCAAAATATCTTAGGTTACCTTGGAGGAGCTTCTTGGTCATTCCAAAATATTGGCATTGTACTAACTAGCAACCTGTACCTTACCTGAAGATAAACTGCTTTTCACCTGTAATGATGACTGAAACCAAACTGGAAACCAAACCAAATAAGGAAGAACTTCTTAAAAATACAAGCAGAAATACAACCCTGCTGAGTAAGCTGAGTTAAGTGGTAAGGATCGTTGATTCACTGCTAGCACAAATTTAAGGCTTGGCTATTCATGTTTAAGCCTAAAACCACTTGAAACTCAGGTATCTGAGAAAGAACTGATTCATTTACCAGCATGCTAAGTCACTAAGCTCATCACCATTGTGCTCCATTTGTAGTCCACCTGGAACAGAGCCTCCCGTGTACTG